CCCCTGTAGAGCCTCTGGAAGCCACGCCCCCTGCAGGGCCTCTGGAAGCCACGCCCCCTGCAGGGCCTAGAACAGGTCACGCCCCCTGCAGGGGGAGCACCACAGGGCCCGTTGTCACCCAGCAGCTCAGCCTGGAGACCTGGCCCTGTCCCAGCGGAGGGTGGGGGTGACCTCAGGCCGGGCGTCCGACCCTGGGAGCCCCAGTCCCTTTGTCCGGGAGGCGGGGCCAGTGACACCCACAGGGTGCAGCGAGGTGCAGGGAGGTCACGTGTAAGGCAGACACATGCCTGGCCAGGACGTTCGGTTCCACACGGAGGGAAAGGGCCGACGGGGGGCGGGGGGGGGCAGGATGGGGTTTTCTGTGTGTGTTTGCGTTTGAGCATCTTCCATGCAGCAGTCCTGCGAGGCAGGCATGTATGGGATGCGGGGAACGAGCCCCAGAGCCATGCCAGGGCCCTGCGGTCAGGCGGGGCCGGGAGGGGTGGGCCCAGGGCCTCCGACTGGACTGACACCCAGTGGAGAGGATGCCTTTGCAGCCCGGGTCTGGGTGGGGCCCGATGTCGGCCCTGGAGGTGCCCCCGGGACCCTGCATGGTCCCCCCTGCACGGTCCTCCCTGCATGGTCCCCCCTGCATGGCAAGGTACCCTAACCCCGTCTCCGTTGCCAGGGGCGACTGGATCCGCGTGGGGCTCTGCTACCCCCGAGGCACCACCTTCTCCATCCTCTCGGACGTGCACAACCGCCTGCTGAAGCAGACGTCCAAGACGGGCACCTTCGTGCGGACCCTGCAGATGGACAAGCTGGAGCAGAGCTTCCCGGGCCGCAGCCACTACTACTGGGACGAGGCCTCGGGGTGAGTGGCCCCGCCAGGCCGTCAAGCTTTGGAGGAAGAAACATCTGTGCTCCGCGCTCTACCCACTGAGCCACACCGGCCGGCAGCGCAGCCCTTTTTAAAGATGCAGAGGCCTTGGCTGGAGTGTGCTGTGCAGCGTGGGGGAGGGGGACCCCTTACCTGGCCGCCCCTTCACCTGGTCTAAGCAGGGCTGCAGGCAGAGGCTCACCCCGCCCCCTGGCAGGATCCCTGGTAACCGCCCCTTGTGCGCTTCCTTTCTGGGTCCGAGAAGATGTACATCCAGGCCTACAGGACCAGCAACCTGCGCATGAAGATCGTCAAGAACGACTTCCCGGGGCGCCCCCTGCACCTGGAGGGTGCGCTGACCGGGAGCACCCACTACCAGCAGTACCAGCCGGTGGTCACGCTGCGCAAGGGCTACACCATCCACTGGGACCGCACGGCGCCCGCCGAGCTCGCCATCTGGCTCATCAACTTCAACAAGTGAGGGGGCGTGGCCGGGAGGGCAGGGAGACGGGGCCTCGGGAAGGCCACGCCCCTAGGGCAGGCCACGCCCCCTTCAGGGCCTCTGGGAGCCACGCCCCTGCGCCCTCAGCCCTCAGCCCTTGGCTGAGCTGCCTGGGGTTCTAGTCGATGGAGAGCTGAGGGGAGATGAGGGGTCCCCTCCCCTGTGCAGACAGCCTAGCACCCCAAGGATGCCAGCACATCTCCACCGGATGGCGCTGTGCACAGCCAGGCCTCGGGCGCGAGGGAGGCTCACTTTGCAGCCCAGTTCCTTCTAGAAATCTGTTTCTGTTTCATTTGTTCAGCTATTTTATTTTTTGTTTGTTTTTATATATTTTTATTGATTTCAGAGAGGAAGGGAGAGGGAGAGAGAGAGAGAAACATCAGTGATGAGAGAGAATCACAGATCGCCTGCCTCCTGCATGTTCCCTACTAGGGATCAAGCCCACAACCCGGGCCTGTGCCCTGACCGGGAATCGAACCTGTGACCTCCTGGTTCCTAGGTCGACGCTCAACCACCGAGCCACGCCGGCCCCGGGCCATTTGCTCGATTATTTTGTTGTTTCGGTTCCACCTACGACTTTCTCTGCCTTATTCCGGTGAACATAGCGCCTTCTCGGCCCATCCATCTCGGACATGGGGAGCTGCGTTCTCTCCCGTGGCTGCGTCATTTTCCATCGCGTGCAGGCACCCCGTCTTCCTGGCCCACGCGCCCATCGACAGGCACTTAGGCCGTTTCCAAATGTTAGCTATTGTCAGTTGTGCTGCTATGGACATAGGGGGGCATATGTCCTTTTGATGGATGTTTCTGGTTTGTTGGGATAGATTCCTGGAAGTGGGATCACTGGGTCCAATGGGAGCCCCATATATATATATATATATATATATACTAGAGGCCCGAAATTTGTGCACTTGGGTGGGTCCCTCAGCCCGGCCTGTGCCCTCTCGCAGTCTGGGATCCCTCAGGGGATGTCCACCTGCTGGTTTAGGCCCACTCCCTGGGGCGATCCGGCCTCAGCTGGCAGTCAGACATCCCTCTGGCAGCCCAGCAGCCCTCGGGAGATGTCCACTTGCCAGCGGGGAGCAGGCCTAAGCTGCAATCGGACATCCTTAGCACTGCTGAGGCAGGAGAGGCTCCCGCCACCACCGTTGTACTAGCAGCCATCAGCCTGGCTTGTGGCTGAGCAGAGCTCCCCCATGTGGGAGCGCACTGACCATCAGGGAGCAGCTCCTGCATTGAGCGTCTGCC